TATTATTTTGAATTGTACGTACTGAAACTAACTTAAATGTCACAGGTAATCCTTAAAACTTACCTACAGCAAGTAATCTTACTGCTAGCTTTGTGTTTAGAGACTGACTTCTGTTCAGGAGACCACAAGCCTTGATTAAAGCAAACAAAAAGCCAAAGTAAATTACAAGGAAGCATTTACCAGTGTTCAGATTAGAAACTAATATTGTCAGAAAACTCAGTTGGGACTTCAGAGGGATTCAAGTCTCATGCAGTGCTAGGACATTTAAATACATATTATTTATCAGTAAATGGGAAAAAAATCTGTCTAAATAACACAGAGGGCGTTTCTGCAAAAAAAAAAAAAATCATAGTAACAAAGTAGTACGTTATACCCTCTGGCACCTCACTACACAGTCCTTTCCAACTCAGTTTAGGTGACTTAAATAAGTATCCAATGTTACTTAGCTTTAGGTAGCTTTATACCTCATGTCTTCCGGATTATAAAGAACTGCGCCTATCTGTAGTTAGCTTAGCTATACAACTTTATAGAATTTACTGGCTTAGTGTAAAAGTTACAAGGAAGAAGACGTACCAAAATCACTGGAAGAGCAGGATGCCAACTGATGAGTAAGAGGATTGTATGAAACGCACTGTATAGAGTCATTGTGCCTGGAATGAAGTTACAATCATATTTCAACATATCATTCTTACATGCCCCCTTTTCTGACTTCTAGCAAGATAGGTGAAAAGTCTACCAGATGCCAGAAATAATTCAATCAGTTTACAGTACCTCAAATTAATCTACAATTACTGTAAACTAAACCAATAACAATCCTGAAAAGAATTGTCTCTAAATGGCAGAATTCGTTGTAATTTATCAAAATTAGCTAAAAACGCATGTAGACTGTGATTTATGAAATGTGGTTAAAGGTTATAACCAAACTGTGAAACAAGTATGCTTGTGGATGCTCCCAGTAGTACACTAGCTTGTGCACACTAACTAGCAACAAATGTACACATGCATTCAGAAACAGAATTCAAAGATCTTGCTTAAGAGAGACAACACAAAAACAAAGCCAGAAGAAAGCTGGAAAGACACCGAAAGTATCAATCCTTATCTTTAGTTTAGCCTTTGAACTAGAATTATATTTATTTTATTATACAAGATCAGAGACATATTGTGTTTCCTTTATTTTGATCTATACTGAGATTCCCCAGTTCTCTGCCAGCCCTCTACACTCAGAGATTTATCTGGACTTCCCACCCTCTTTTATGTCTTTAATTGCTTTCCCCGCCTCATTCAGATACTGTGACCGTTCTTTTCCTCTTCCCTCTCCTATTACCCACTCACTAGCATTTTCTCTGACCTCAGTCAACCTTCTTCCAAATCTAACGGCGTGTACTCTTTGACAGCAGAAGTGCATAATCAAAGCCCATTTTTGAGAGGTACAGAATTGAAAAGCATCACTTACGTGTATTTCAGAATTCCTTCTAACTTTGAAGTCCAAATTATCACACTTTTATCAGCTGAGCCAGATGCGAAACGTTTGCCTAGGAATTAAATACAATTTAAATCCCACACATAAAAGAATCATTTTCACTCCAAATAATCAAAGAGAGAGCAAGAAGTTCTTGAACTTGACAAGGCTCAAGTAATTAAGGGCCTAACACAGTAAGTGTCTTGATGTGACTGCGCTTCTCCAACTGCATGAAACTCCGATGACCGTATTTGCTTCTCCCACAGAGAGCGCCTCGCTCAAGCCCAGCACTGCAAGCAAGCAGCCAGTCCTCCCGACACTGTCAGTCACAGGTTGGAGATTTATGTCAACAGTGTCAAGTGAAAAGTGGTACATTTCCACAGCTACCACCGACAACTTAAAAAGCAGTACTTGAGAGGAAGTCCTCCAAGTCCACAGACAGTAAATCCCCGCAGAACAAGAATCAGAGGCAATGGAAGAACTGGAAGCAGAATAAGGTCTGTGGTGAGCATGGTAATGTGTGCAGGATCAGAAGATCAGGAAGCTTTGGGATGGACAGAGGAACTACGGGAATAAAAATCAGTCAGGCGGAGTACTAGAAACAGGGATCTCTGCGGTAAGCCTTCTCCTCACATTACCCCACAAAGATAAACTCAACCATCGCTGAAGCAGAATGGGAGGGGAAGCGGGGACTAAATTTCTTGAATTAGCAGGTAGCCTTACACGTAAAAATACAGTACTTCTGCACGTAGCTTTTGTGAGGCACCTCAAACCTTCCAGTAAAAACCAACCAAACAAAACACCACACTCACACACGTTCAAAATATCGTTACTGAAACAACCCTGATTTCACTATTTATCAGTTGGCAGTAAGAAACGGAAGATATGCACTTTACAAACCAGACTAACACAGCCCCCCAAAGCAATACTTACCGTCTTTAGCATAAGCCACACAGTATACAGTGTCCTTATGTCCTTTCAAAGGCTGAATTAAGGTTCCATCAGAAGTATCATATACCTATTTTAAAAAATGGGGGGAAAGACAAACACCAAAACACAAAGATACAAACAAACACACACACACATAAAAAAATCCTCCGGTGAGGACTGGGATACAAAATTACCAAAGGCCAACATGATTATACACTTTCTTTTGTGTTTGATTTTTTGCATCGCATACAGTCCATGCAAGACAAAACGTTTTAAAGCTTAGACACATCATTCCTTCAGGTAATACTTCTCGGAAGGAAAGACTCAGTGACAGAAAATCACATGCACGAGTGAAATTTCCAGACAGCTCACTTGACCAGCTTGTTTTACTTCTTTCCACACAGATGTTTAAACAGAATAAATTACTTGAACGGACTATCACCAGATATAGCATTCTGCAAGCTCTGAGAATAGCAAAGCCTGCTGCCCTGCAGTTCTGACCTAGGTCTCTGTAATCGTGCCATCCATCCACCCATCCCTCTGTCCCTCCAGCTTCCACACCTGCCCCATCCAAAAGCTTCGCAGGAACGGCGAGGAGCGTGGTCCTGAGCCGCTCCTACTGATGGGTCAGCAGCAGGCACCTGGCCCCAGGGAACTGCAGAAAGCTCTGGCTGCACTTCTTGCAGACTAGGGACATCAGTTTGAGTTTCTTTCCCCTTTCCAGAGAGATTTTCACAAAACTTGCAACAACGCAGTATTTGTATGCCGTGCCACTGCACGAAGTTTGGATGCAGGTTTACGGATTTCAAAGCACCGGGTGAGGTGCGAGAAGAGATGATGCAAGTAACTTAAATCTCATTACTTTTGGAAATAGAGCTTAAAATTTGCTAAGAGACACTAAAAAGCTTCAAAATACATATTAATGCAGGCTAAGTGTAAAGTATGTAGATGTGAGGCTGGGCTAATAGAGATAAGAGGATTTCTGACAGGTTACATTCATAAGTTAATGCGAAGGAAATCACATTCGTGCAGCTGTAAATGCAAGAGGAAAAAAACCAAGTTTCCCTACCAGCAGTCTATTTCCAGCAGCAATTATCAACTGAGTCCCATCCGGTTTGAATGCAAGATCGTAAATGCTAAAGGAAGAAAAAAAACACCACCATGTATTATTCACATATTGCATTACAAGTGTCTCTTATCAAACTCAGAGTATAATTCATATTATTCATGTAGAAACTCAACTTCAACACCACATAGAAAGAAAAGCTAAATACGTGTGTGACGGGGTTTCAGTGACATCCTGATCAAACGTCGAGGCTTGGAGCGACGAGACGGCTGACGACCCAAGCCATTAGTGCAGGAGGGACAGAGCCCGGTGCTCGCTTGCCCAGTGCTCCCACTCTACTGGCGATTCTTTATTGCTGTAAAACACGACAGGGATGGTTCCACGGGTACCAGTTTGCAAAGGACTGGGAAACACGTCGGGAGGACTCGCGCAGCCAGGCAGAACAGACTGGGTTTCAGGAACAGTTCGAAGTGCATCTTTTCCAAATGCAGAGTGACACAGGTCTCCTCTCCCTCTGACCACGAGTATTTTGTTGGTCATCTGAAAGACCAGTTTCCAGAGAGCAGTGCCTCACTGGTCTGCTTCAAGAACAGACTACAGCTAAGATGCAGAATGAAAGACGTTTTGAAGAAGGACTGCTTAACGTAAATCAAAAGGTTCAGCCCTCATGCCACGCCTGGCACTCATGTGGAGAGAACCAAAAGGGTAAAAAAAAAATAAAGAAAATTAAGGCAAAGGGAAGCTGACTTCTAACACCTCAAAGTCAAGGAACTTCTCAAAAACACAAACACAAGGGAAGGTGGCTCTCCCTCCCGTGGGTTAAGACTTGGCTTGCTTCCTCAGGCGCAAGCATTCGAACCAGCAGTTTTAAAAAACACAGCCGAAGAGCAGCGGATTTCTCGGCACTCCAGGTGACCCAAACAACATGTACATCGCTGTTTCAGATAGAAGGAGAAGCAGGTAAAGAACAAAAAAGATCCGTTCAGTATTCAAACTTGTGCAAAAATAGCAAGTAGACTGCGATCGAAAAGCGCGCTTGTGGAGTATTTTCGGAAAACCAGGGAGACAGCGCTGGAAGCAGCAGATTTGGGTTGCACAGCTCCGTATCAGAGTACGCGTTCGAGAGTGAAGCGGCGCGGCAGGAACGCTGCGGGGCCTGCTCGGGGGGACGAGGACTGTCGCGGGCAAGTGCAAGGCCTGGGTGTGCGGAATGGTGAAGAGGACAGGATTCGAAACGTTCGGGCTGGAAACGAGCACGTGGAAAACATTGCATCCACTCTGGAAAGCCAAGATTTGATCATGAAAGGCATAAACCCAGAGGATTGTTTGAAAACCCAGAAAAAGAGGGCAGGTGGAAAAGGTGCTCAGAGCAAGAAAACTGGAAAGAGCTCCGAAGAGAGGAATCGAGATCATACCCAAGGCAAAAGACGGAGAAGAGCGTGCAACAAGCAGGAAAATGAGCGTGTTCAAAACCAGAAACTCTGCAGAAAGACGGACGCGCGTGCTGCTGACAGTCAGGGCGCAGGTGATCAGAACACAGACCCTATGGACGCGGGAAGAACTCTCTTGAGAGCTTCCAGGTCCCGGCCAGACACACGGCGAAGGTCGGCGACAGCTCGCTCGCGGCGGGAGCTGGGGAGCCGAGCAGAGGAGGAGCACGTGGAGACGGGTTCCAGTGACGCATCTTCTGCAAAACCTGCGGAGAAAACCAGCGGATTGAAGACAGAGACAGAGACAGGTCAAGGGAATCCGGGTAGCCAGGACTTTAAATCTGACGCTGAAACGGACGCTGACGTCTCGCAGCTGTGTGAGAAGACAAGCTTCACAGCGGTTAGGATGCCGCCAGGTATTTGTGTGATTTCGAGCAGAGCATTATCCTAACGTTCTGCCAGGGGTTCTCCTCGCCGTACGAGCAGAGCATTCTGTTGCAGGTCGAGCAGCGCTGACACCTGAATCCGTCTCCTTTCCTTGTCCAACAGCACTTAACTGAATGCAGATGTAGTCACAGCTGGAGCTTGCTCTGCCGCTCTCCTCAGCTGTGGAGTGTGATAGAATGGTGTTCGTCACCTGCGCTGCATTCGCTCTTGGAGCATTGTTGCACTGTTGGTCAGGTGGATTCACAGAACAGGCTGGGTTTAGCTTGTTTCGTGTGCTAGGGCATGTGGACAGCGTCTGATCCTTGATTGTAGTTTGAACCTGTTTCCTGTGGCCAGGTAACGATTTATCTTCTGAAGATTCTTCACAGGGCTGAAATGGAGGAGTACTGGAGTGAATCTAAGGCACGTTTGTGTTCCATACACCTGCAAGAAATCCTTATATTTCCATCATGACACAAAGTGGAAGTGGTGTATGCAATGTGGCAGCAAAATGCTTGTATTTTTTTCTTTTTAATGCTAAAGTGTTGTTTCTTTGCAGAAGAGTCTGCCCCACGAACACAAGTGGATAGGAGGAAAACGAGTCCATATTTTTCAAGTAAATACAGTAAAGAAGGTATAATATTCTCCAGGGAAATAGCTCTGTTTTTATAGAGGGAGGAGTAGGATGGCTCAAGATCGAGGGATGTTATGGAGAGCTTCTTCCCCCCGTGGACTGGCCGTGCTTGGGCGGCACCGGAGAGCTCAGCTGACCGCGCTAGCGCTGATCTCGTCCCGTTTTAAGCCTCGGTGGTTCGTGTCTTGCAACCAGCCACTAAGCCTGGTATCGCGTGCCTCGGCAGCTGCGAGGTGGTGGGGCGGAGGGGCTGGGGGCAGTTCTCTGCAGACCCCTGCGTACCCAGGGCTGCGGCTCTGCCCTTACCTGGGAGCGGGGGGGTGGGGGGGGGGGACGGCCCCTCTCCTCAGAAGCGCCTGGGCGACGG